AAAAAAAAAAAAGAAGAACAGAGGTATAAACGAGACACTCTACACTGTTGGAGAAAGAGTCGGAGGAAACCAAAGAAAAATGATCAGCATATGGAGGAAAAATAAATCCTACATGATAATCAAGATAGTTTCAATGAAACTTCAGACCTAACGCAAGTATTCCAGGAAGTTATTATAAAAAACCTGAAGACGATAAATGGGAGGATTGTTCCACAGATTTGGGATCTCCATCAATCTATGATGATGCATCCAGATACTTAGATTTAATCCTTCTAAGGTCTACAGAATGATATAATGAGGAAAACAATAACGACTATGTGTTTATGAAGCGTTCCAGAAAGTATCATAAAGCATTCCAGAATGCATCCAAATAACCTGACTGTTCAACTGCTAAAGCTTTGAAAGTTGAGTCTTCATCTATAACAGAATGGAAACTCAGATAATATTTCAATTGAAAATGTTCATGAAACATAATGAAATTCCTTGCCATGAAGGAGGGAAAGCGATGCAAACTAAGAGAGCTGCACATGAAGAAACTTCAGTTGGCTGGGCAAATGAAAATACAGAAACAAAAAAGGATATAACAGTTGCATGGACATCTTACTGATCGACGAAAGACACACTTGAGACAAGTTCTTCTCCACCCAAGTATAGCAGATGCAGAAATAAAGAAGGAAACTTTCATGAAAGCACTTTACAGAGTTTACTTGAAGAGTTTGATGTTCATTGTTCTTTAGAATTGGGGTTATTAGTTAGGTCATATTTATTTTCAGTACCTTTTTAATTAGTTGTTCCCTTGTCTTAAAAATGTCATCTTTAGTACCTTTGAATCAATTTCTTGATTCACAATAATTAGGAGTCCTAGATTGTTTAGGATGAGGATAGTTAGTCCTTTTTCCTATAAATAGAACTGTATTTCAACTTTGTAATTCATTCAACCATTACTATTAACGATATTTTGTCTTTTGGCCTTTTTATCTCTGTCTAGAGCTTCTAGAGTAAGTTCCTTGATTTTACCATTTTCAGCCATTTGTTTTACATTAATCTCACACTTTTCCAGGTTCTCCAGAGTATTCTCAGCCTTCTCAACAGTCACAAGATTCTCCGATTTGCTGCTAGCCATTCCAACCAGAATCAGAATTGCCCCATTAACTGAACCAATTTTTTCGCATAGTCTTAGATTTCGATAGCTCGTACAGCAAAGAAATGGCTGCCTCTCTTTCTTTGGATTGTTCATGTGATAAGAACTTCACTATTGTCCGTACATTGTCGCCCTCAGCCATTATTTCCTGAGGAAAGAGCAGGGCATATGATAAAAGAAATTAAAATTGGAAAAACATAAATAATAGGAAATAAAATCGACTTTGGTAACAACATAAGTACTTTTTTACCAAAGTTCTACAACCTTATTATCAATGTCGTCCTCTACCACAACTAGAAGCGTTTCAAGAGCTTTACATCGAACCCTGCGACTGCTACTTCTTAACATTTCTACAATCACGGGTATGAGCTCCTCATTTCGAATAACATTTCGACTTCCCTCTCAGAAAGTCATGCCATTTTCCAGGGTAACAGGATCCTGCATTACTTGTTTTGTCAAGGGACATATAAATGCATCATAAATTGGTTCTATGTGCAGTCTCTCGAGATGGTAACTCTCATCGGACGGGCTACCAGGATCATGATTCCCATCCCAGCTTTCCGCCATTAAAGCTTTGTACCTGTCATTTGTCAATGCATCTAACATAACTTCAAATCCTATCACAAAAATCTCAAACAAACGGCAGCTCACACATAAGCCGACCTCTTGAACAAGAGTTTGCTCCCACTAATATGAAATGCTACTATTTCCATGATGTGATGAAAAAAGAAAAACTAAACTTGTAAAGCAATATGTCCATTTTCCCAGACTTCAATTCTAGAGATGAAAGCAAAACATAAAACAAGAAATAGAAAATGGAGAGGCTTCACAGAATGCTACACAATTCGAAGTGTCCACTTATAGGAATTCTTTTAACCAAGCTTATGTTTTTAATCAAGCCATCAGCATTTCTCTTCTATTCAATTGTTGTCATTGCTATGCTTTATTGATATATAAAGGTCCATCTTTGAAAATGTTATCAAAACTAAACAAGAGGAACTTGTAACAGAAGATCCCAAAAGAGAAATGACTGGGTTGGAATACAACTAGTAGCCATATAATCATCAACAACAACAACCCAGTAAAATCCATATGATCCAACTACAATAACAATGATCAAAATTAACTAGTAGCCCTATAATCAAAGATCAAAATTACAATGACCCAAACAAATTACAAATAGTAAAATTAACAATTCACTAATCAAGTTCAATGACCAAAAAGAAGTCAATATAAACAAAAACTAGTTGTACCCCAATTTCAATTGAAAAAAAAAAAGTAAACACCCTTTACTAGTGACAGTTAAAAGAAAAAACTAGAATTGAATTGAGAGAAAACATCAGTTAACCAAAAAAGCTCATACCTTTACGGAAAAAGACTCTGTTAGCTCAACGGTCAAGACTATGAAATCAACTCAGCAACAAAGTCCAAAGATGAAATTGAGCAAAATTCATATTGTTCCATGAATCTTGAATTTAGGATTTGAATGGGGCCATGTTGGAGAGGAAGAAGGAAGGGAAAGAGCTGGTAGCAGGAGTTGATGTTGATGAATGAATACAACAAACAAGTGGAAAACTACAAATTATGATTTTTTATTTCTGTAGTTGGGGAAGATATTTAAATACTTAAATTCTCAGGTTGACTCATAAAACACAGAGTCTTCGCTCTGCAACTTCAGAAAACCGGCCTTCATTTCTACATTGTGAGTAGCATTGGAGTAAAACTTCTGTTATTTTCAATTTTTACCAGTAGTATTTCTTTTTCGGGAACAATATTTAGTAAATTTAAAATATTGTCTTTTTAAGATGTTTCATATTTGATCACAACTATGTTACCAAGTACCAACTAAGGACCAATAGAACAAAAAGCTGTTTATAGAAAATGTAAATAAATGAAATAAATATACAAAGCAGCTAAAGTTTACAGTGATATCTATATTAAGAATCTCTTCCATTTCCAGGTTCCAAACCCTTCCACCTGGAGTGATCAAAATAATTCTCTGCTTTACCCAAGTGCAAATATCCACTGGATAGGACTCCAATATCGACGACTGTGTTCTCTTTGGTCGGGGAAAAGCCTCAATTTCTTCAGTCTGAACTTTAAACAGATTTCACCAGTTCAGAAATCACTTCATGAGTCCAAAAATCCATGCGAGAAGGACATCAAGCCATCTCTTCAGCGAATATGATATCAAAAATGAAATTTACTGCAGAATAGAAGCAATTAGAATGTAGAAGTGTGGGTTCAATAACAACATACGTGTGCACTTCAAACAATGCAATAAAAGCTTCTGTTTTAGCACAGCTGAAGCTCAACTCGAGCTAACGAAACCTTACTGCCATAATGCTTAATTCCAGCTACAAGCAAAACTACATTGTCAAGAGGCTTCATATGGTTGATCTTACCTTGTACATTTCCGAAGAGCTATAATCTAAGGCATTAGGTAACTTGATGGGCAATTAACACGAAGTTACGCATCATTAGTAACTTAAACAACATTACGGTGGGTACTAGCTGCCTTAATAACTAAACCGCAAAGGAAGGAGAAGAGGAATCATGAAAAACTACATGCCTGAGACTCTAATTGTAAAATTCACAGTTTTGAAGCAATTCAATGTTTATATAATCTTTTAATTTAACTCCTACATTCTAGGTTTGACTGTGGGCATAGAGGCCAGTAATCCAGGTTTAAGAGGCAATATATAACTTTTTTCTTCTTCTTCCATAACAAACTTTCCATGCATTATCAAGTCAACATCCATATCTTTAGTTCAGGCTTGCACCCAAAGAGTGTCTGCCTTCTAATTTTAGGTTGTCCTAGACTCGTGTCTGACAGAATATTGACTCATGTCAGACAAATGTCATATCCACATATTGGTACCTCTAATACAAAATTCTCTTTCCTTACTTAACGAAAGAGAACTTGTAATCACCACATCCAAATTTTGACAAAACCAAAATACATTCAGTTCTTCTCTTCATAAACGTGCAAAGATACAACTGCCATGCAATAACAGTTTGTTCTGACAACAAGATGTTCATTTAACAGGAAAGAGTAACTGTCTATGGACTGTTAGATTCATACTGACACTGCTTTTATTGTTCTTTTTTTTAAGGATGAATAAAGATGGATAGTTTCGTTCTTGATGCGACTTGCACAAATTCAAACCCACACCATAAGCCACATGGATTAGCAAGTCACTTGAATTGCTTTACTACATCGATTTATACTCACCTTCCTCTTTGGGGATGTTAGGCTGATCAACCAACAGTTGCTGAAGCGCGCCTAAATCATCAGTTGCACTGCAGGGAAATCAAGCTTCAATATGTGCATAAATTTTTAGAAAGAAAGAGAAATGTAACCTAATGACAAGACTAGGATGAAATCCCAGAATATCCCAATGCTCTTCACGAATCGAAACAGCGTGAGCTTGATTTTCGACTCAAAAACAGATATCAAGCCAACAAAACAGGAAAAGAAAAATAAATTGACAGGACATTGACCACCTATACCTAGCTCTGTCAGTGAGATCTAGAAAGGAAAACAAGTGGGAAAAAACTGTCATATGATACCTGGGTTTTAAAGCAACTGCTGATATGACCGATAATTTAAGATGGTACCTGAAATAATGTACTGAGAGAATCAGTAACGTAAAGTGTTCAATGCATAATAATGCAAGAATAAGAACTAGTTCGTATGGAAAAAGAAAACCTAAGTTGCTCGGACACGGGTGCGGGTGTCCGACACGGGTGCGTATCTAGAGATCGCATCCTTCGAGATGTAAATTTTAAGATTCGGGGATATGGATCCTAGTATGGATACGGGTGGGAGGATCCGGCTAAAAATAATTCAAAAAAATAAAAATATAAAAATATCTCTAAATTATGAGAAATTCTGTGGAATACTTAGCTTGTAAAGTGTGAACTTCTTTATTCTCAAGTTGTAGATAAGTAAATAATTGATTTCCTAGATAAAGTATGCTATTTTCTTTTGATTTACCCTAGTTTTGGTTCTGATTTCGGGAATCAAATTGTATCTCGTCTCGAATTTTCTGTCTGACGTGGTCAAAGTACCCAAAATTGTTTGACCAGATCCGGTACGGATCCCATACCCACACCCATACTAGTGTCGTGTCGACACGGGTACGGCACCTAAACTACCATGTCGGGCAACTTAGAAGAAAACTATATCAAATCCATTCGAGGTGACAGGAAGAAAGAGAAGAAAGAGGTAACTTGATTTCAAACCAAAATTTTGTTCATGTTAACCTACCATAGCAAATAGCAGAGCTATATCATTTTCACGTTAAAGAGAAAAAGCTCCTGATGCAGGAAGTGATACTAAGGAGGTGATAGTGGATAGCATGATTATATATCATTTTTCTTTTTAAGGATAACATCTGAAAATCTAATTCAAAGGAAGAAATATCAAAGTACAGCTATATTACTAGGAAACAACATATTATCTGCTAATAAAGGCTCAACAATGGAATTTACTAGTACAAAAAGACAATAAACTTCGTAATTTAAGATAAATAAGGCAGGAAAAGTGAAACAGGAAAAACATATATTTTCTTATCTATGCATACTCTGATTGGTGCATCTCACAGAGAAGTTTTAGCCCATCCAAGCAATCAGCAATGCTTGGTTTTACTCCAACGCGTTGCTGCAGCTGTTTCACAGTTACTTGAGTGGATCCCCCTTTTACAAGCTGTCTACCATCACGAACCATCTTCTCAAGCGATAACACGACAGAACAAAAATTTTCCCTAGATTTTGAACCAAACAGAAAGAGGGGAAAAAAGAATAACCCTCTTAGTTGATAATCAACATCTAGCTCCAATAACTAAATGCACAAGTAAACTGCAAAAGCAATTCACTTACTGGCGTACAACAAACCTCATCCCACAGTTTTAAGAAAGTCAAAAGCAATTCACTTACTTTTGCTAACATAATCAATTACCAACAAAAAAACAAAACAAAAAATTCGAAAGGGCAATGACAAATATTTGACTTTTATAACTGAGGAAAGTTTGTGTTTGCCACTAGTTATTTTATCTCTGGTTAGGGACTTGCATATAAGTGTTTCAAATAACCTCTAGTTTAGCTTAAAAGACTAATTTTTGGTATTAGAATGAAATGAGCCCGAATAGTAAAAGGATTCATATAGCCACCCCAACTAGTTCGGATTGACATATAGTTGATTGATTGACATAACTAAAAATCATGAAATACAAAGACAAAAAAAAAGGACCTACAGAGTTTGATTCATAGAAAGCAAGATAGTTTGAAGAGAATCCATTTGCTTAAGCAAAACAGCTTCTTCAATGCCTTCAACACATCTCAGGGTACCATAATTCTTAGAATCTTGAAGAATCTGCATAAAAATGTAATCTTTTATAAGGGACAAAAGTAAACTATGTCAAAAGCCCTTTACTGTTAGAAGCCAGCCATTAGAACATGGTTAAAAAAGCTGGGAAAGTTATTACCTGTAACCGCTGAATGATGGAAGAAGCATTGGTGAACTGAGAAAGCAGTCGAGATTGAAGATCATTCCACGTGTCCATCTCTTCCTTCACCTTCCTGAATCTCTGCTGATACTTTTTAACTATATTTTCCATATCTCCAATTTACCTAAAGACTATCAATAGTCAAACCATTAAAAAGACATACATAAGCGAGATATGAGAGACAAAAAGAGATATGCGTATATGAGTTAGAGAGAGAGAGAGAGGAACTTACAACTGGAGTTGGCCAGAGACAGAAACGGCGGGCATTTGTTGGCAGCTGCGGGCCAAGTGTTAATTTGGCTGAAGATTTTCCTTTTTTGTTTTTTAGAACAGAGAAAATATGGAATTTGAATAATCCTAGGATTTAACTTATATAGATTTACTGTGTAAATTTTCTTTACACTATGAGCTCAGTGTTTGACCAAAAAATATAAACTTTCGGTTAAATTATTAAATCTTATGTAATAAAGGGTTAAACCTAGTTAATGATAATATCTCTAGATTTAGAATTAGTTAGCATAAATAACGTGAGATAATGCTAGTGGGGAACTGAAAACAATGCACATTTAATATTCCAAAGGATTTGAGCAATAATAGAGGAGCATCAAGCAACAAAATAGCAATGAATGACATTTATGTAAAATAAGGAGAATGATTCCTCCTTCAAAATGGCTGTGAGGGTGTTGTCACCTGCATTATTAACAGTGTGAGTAGTACCTATTATCGGAGGAGGGCAAGGGCCATGCTGCTCGACCATAGTCAGTGTAAGGCACGTCCTTGCGTTTTCTATGACTGTATCCTGAGCGGGCTTGTAGAGAATGTTGGTTAGCGTGTCAGTTAGCCAAGCCTCAAGGAGCTTTTTCACCGCTGGTGGCGTCTCTTCCACCATGGACGCGGAGGCTCCTTTACCGCGGGTTCCATGACTTTAGCACGATCGCTTTAATCATACTTGGCTTAATAAAATTGTTTAATTACTCATTTCATAAATTAATTATGCTGGTGTTCATATCTTGAATTAACCAAATTTCAGCATCTACTTTAATTACACTACGTGACAAATGCATTCATGACCATAATCATATTACAGTCCAAACATGAGAGTTTAACAAATTATGCCAGATTTGATAGAGAATAGGGGTTGTCATTTCAAAGGAACATGTAAGTACAGAGATGTCGAACTTACCAGTTCAAAGCCGAGAAAACACTAGGGAACAGACCAAATAAAGGTCAGAAATAGCCTCGACTAGAGCTCAGCAACGATTCCAACAGCTATCAGCAGAATTGAAGACCAAATCGGCTTGCCAAAAACCCAGAAATAATAAAAAAAAATCTCTAGAATCAAGCAGAAACAGATGCAACTTCCCCACAGCCTTTTGAAAAGGAAAATCGACCTAACTTGATTAGTGGTAATGGCCACCTACACCGTTAGTAGCCATAGATGAAAGCAAAAGGCTTCAAAAAGAATTGATAGAGAAAGAGGAAAGAATTTAGAATGAAAAGACGAAAGTTTTAGCGGGCGTTTGGACATAAGAATTGTAAGATTCCCAAAAAAAAGTGAAAAAAAAAATTGTAAAAAAAAAGTATTTGAATATTAGAGTTGCGTTGGATATGAATATAATTTTGAATTGTTTTTGAATTTTTATGAGTGATGTGAAAATTTTGAAAATACTTTTCTGGAGTTTTTTAAATTTTTGAAAATTTTTAAAATGCATCTTTAAGTGAAAATTATAAATTTTATAAACAAATGGTGATTTCGAAAAAAATGAAAATTTTTCGAAAAAAAAGAAAAATTATCTAAACGGGCTCTTATAGTACAAAAAGGAGAGAGAAATTTTCCGATATTAATAATGATAAAACTGATTCCTTAATTTGGGGAATCTATTTATTTTTAAACCTCCATATATATGTTTTAAAATATGCTAAAGTTGTAAAAAAATCTATTATTTATGAAATAAACAAAGAATGATGCTATTAATGACAATAATATTTAATAAGTGATCAGCTATATAAAAATGAGAAAGTTTCGGAAACCACTATGTTTTAGTGATTATTAGCTTGCTATAGCTACCATTTACTAAATTACTTCCTATAGCTATGTTTTCAGTTGTTATAGACTGTATTCAATGTATTTTTGCTACTGTATTCATGAATAAAGTAGCAAAACTCGGCAAAAAAACAGGAGAGTCCAGCTAAGCAGAGAATGTATTCGACTGTATTCGCGAGCTGTATTCGTGAATACAGTAACGGAATTTGCGGGAAAAAAAAGGTTTTAGCTATTTAAAAATAGTAAGTAAATCAATTAACGCGATAGACTCCTAATATAACTCAACAAACTCAATTATAACAAATAAAATTTGTATTTCCAGTCATAGAAAAGCTTCTCAACCGAAAAACATAGCAATCTTCAGAGATTCAATCCATCCTTTCTTTTTTTTTTAGTGGTATCTTTATTAAAATATTTTTTAGTGGTATCTTTACAAATAGATTTATATTTTGAAATTATATAATTACATTGAATACAATTAAATACATAAAAATACATTGAATACATGAAGTATAGCAGGTCATCTATAGTGCAAAACTATATGAATACATACTGTAGATACATTTGAATACATATATATATCTGAATACATAAATTATATTAATTAAAAAAAACATATGAATACATTCTACAATACATTGAATACATGCTGCTGAATACAATGAAATACATGGAATACAACGAGATACATTGAAATACAATTAAAAAAAAAGGCAACAGACTCTTCAAGTTCCTCAGCCCCAAACTCCGTCCCCAATCCACCGATATCCAAGCTGCCGATCACCAAAAAATTCATCCAGCTCCGACAAGAGCCAGAGTAGGAAGTGCTACCCAAACCCACAGCTTCGTTGGTGCCTGATCACGCCCAACTCTAGTCCTAAAAAGGATAAGCGGTCGCTGCAAATATAATCCGGTCTAAAAGTTCGGAGTCGAATCCCACAGAGAACTAGGCTTAGCTATATCTGTTTAATATCACTAAAAAGACAAGTTTGATCTATTTTCTAAATTATAAAGAATGAGATTTATATTTCTAACTAATTAACTAGCAAATACTAGAAAGCGGTAAAATTATCAACTAACGAGACAAAGGGTTGGAGACTAAATTAAGGAGGTCTAGAGTTATTATTTCCCCAATTGTCGGCATCCTTCTAGCTATGTTCCCTACAATTTCGCCAATGTATTCTCTACTGATCGTGAGCACCTTAGGTGTCGTAATTCTCTCTCGAGCAACTACAACAATTTACTAGACATATTCTCTCGAACTACGCTAGTTGGCTTTATCTAACCGCTCATTATGACCACGTCAAGGCTTTGTTATTTCTAAACCTGCCTCTAAACCCACTGTATTGATTTCTCACATACGTTAGGAGTGACGTTATTCAACAACTACCTAAATATATACTCTCTCTCGAGCACTACACACTAAATAGGCACAGTCAATTGATGGCCATTCAATCAACAACAACAAACACGTAGTTGAACAAGTAGAGAAATCCAACGACTCAATTATATAAAAACATAACAAGAATTTATCCTACAAAAGGTTCTATCAAAACCCTAGATAACAAATTAGCTATTCATAATAGTATGTAAAACTACAATACTAAAAATCATAACCAACAATGAAAAAGAGGAAGATGAAGGAAAAACTCGTTGAAGAATTACCCGCCTTGCTCCTATTGTGTCTCTGCCTCCTTAGGTCGAATCTGTGTCAAAAATTGGTCTCCTCCTCAAAAATACCGTTTTCCATGTATATATACCAAGTAGGGTCGGGCCCAAATAATTATACCTTCTCCCACACGAAAAAGGACAATTTTTCAGGTCTGGACGGTCGCGGTCGCGGTCAACAGCGGTACGGATGCGGTATTTGGCAAGTGTATTGCCTCAGTCATGTCCAGGTCCGCGGTCGCGGTTTCGACCGCGTTTTTCACCCTGTTCCGTTTCGAATTTGGAAAAACGTAAAACATGAAAGTTGTAGCTCATTCCAACCATATATTGTGGAGCCCAAATGGAGTTCTAAGCGAGAAGTTATGTGCATTTTACTAGATAGTGCGCAATATGCCTACTCGATTCCTCGTTTTGTTGCTCTATCATCCGTTGATCCTCGAATACGATCCCGGCTTAACTCCTTGGGCTTTTACTCAGACTTCAAAGCTTCAAATCACTTGAATTCATTCCATAACATCTACATAGCTCGAAATCACTCATACAAGGCATAAAACACACAATTAGTGCAAGACACTAGCGATTAAAGTGCAAACTCAACTAAAGTGCAGTAAATTTGAGAGTAATAAGCGACTAAAATACGTAATTATAGCTTATCATCAAGACCCCACACATAAACCATTGCTCGTCCTCGAGCAATCAAACTACATTTTTTTTATAGACACGAACTTTTTAAACAATTCTCCTAACTCATTAAACCAAGAGTATTTAAAATAGACTAAGCACAAAAGCATAACATCTTCACCTCAAGATTTGACTCATAAGTACCACGCATTATTCACAACTCACCCACTTACTCTAACATAGAGGTCATTAATGTTCTAAACGTCAATACCACACAAGAGAGGGGGTGATTTGTGTGGTACCCAATTTTCGCTTATCTGAACTATAGAAGGACCTGGTTCTTCTAGGTGTTCCAACTACTGCTGTTTGCGGAATAATAAATACAAAAAATAAAGAACACATAGATTTTTACGTGGAAAACACCTGGCTCAAAAGGTGAAAAAAAACATGACCTACTACTCAGTAGGATTTTCCCAAACTTCCACTAAAATCACTGAGCCAAAACAGCATTTACAAAAACTCTTTGTAAACCTAAGGATTAACTCTAATCCCGTTGTGGCACACAACCTCAACTGTTGCGACAACTTTAAGTTACTCTAACTTGAATACTCAAAGTACCTGTTACAATTGCTTCTGTGAAAGCTGAAAGGTACAAAGTAAAAACACCTACTACAATTGAACTAGAAATAAAGAAAGACACATAAAACTCTTTATGGAGCTGGTTCTTCAATCTGGTTCATGTAGATTCAGGTTTGCACACTTGAATCACACATGAACAGCTTGCAAAAGACCTTGCTATTTTGCTCTTAATTCATGTTTAACTTCTGTGTTTTTGTGCAACACCTGTAATGTGAGAACATCCTGCAATTTATAGAGATAGTAGATGAAGAAATAACTAGAGTTCTGATGCAACTCTTCCTTGGTGGAAGAGTTCTAGTTGATCTCAACTTCTAACTCCTTCCCTATCTTGGATAGTGTTCTCTTTGATTAAGGAGCCCTTCTCCTTATCAATTATGCAACATTTTCGATCAGGAGATATTAAATACACCAAGTTAAGCTTATCTCCTTCACGTGCATCCCACATGCTCGAATCTGCCCGTTTTTATGAACCTGAGGGATGGACCTGAGAGATGGACCTGGTTTATCTGGTTCATGCCTGAGTTCCTTTGTCAATCTTCAAAACTAACCTTCACTTGGGCCAACAAATTCCCCCTTTTTGATGATGAGAAACTCAGTGCTTTTCATACACTTAGGCCCTGCCAGAACTCAGCTCAACATCAACACAATGTTAGAAACATTTTTCCTTTTTATCACTTATCATCAAGGACCAGGTACATTAGGTTATAAACATCATTGTTCAAAGTCTAAACATCACTTGTTTAAAGCACAACCTTTTTCCCCCTTTTGGCATCATCGAAAAGTTGCATAAAAAACGTGAGATAACCAGATTTTAAAGCTTACTCATGGCCACTGGGGCTACTTCAAATGCAATCATGGATTAATCATCATAGATCAANGGTCTAGTCATGCAACTATTTATGATGCAGCATGCAGTGTTCACAGCTTCTGCCGAGAAGCTGTGAGGAAATTTACTAGCAAGTAGCATAGTCCTAGCCATTTCCTCTAATGTCCTATACTTTCTTTAAACTACTCCATTTTGTTGTGGAGTCCTAGGAGCAGAAAATTATGATCTATGCCATGCTCATCACAAAATTCAGCAAACTTAGCATTTTTAAATTCAGTTCCATGATTAGACCTAATTGATGCAAGTTGATTACCTAGTTGTTTCTGAGTTTTTCTAACAAAAGAAGTAAATCTGTCAAATGCTTCATCTTTAGATGTTAAAAACAATGTCCAAGTAAACCTAGAGTAATCATCAACAAGCACCATAACATATCTCTTACCACCTCAGCTCAGAGTTCTCATTGGTCTACAAAGATCCATATGGACAAGTTCCATCGTTCTGGTGGTACTTACCATTTTCTTGCTTTTGAAAGAGGATCTTACCTGCTTCCTGATCGCAGCCAACTCCGCACCACTACAAAGTAGCGAGAGAGGGTCGCAATAGCTTTTACCCGATTTGTAGGTCGGGATCGAATCCACAGAGAGCTAGGATTGGAGTTAGGTATCTACTTAGCTTAGGATCGCGTGAGTGTTCTTATTTGGTCTTCT